TTGGCCTCCAACGGTCCACATTCACCCCGTTTCTCCTGCCCGGTCCCGCTCGAGGCTCGAGGGAAGGAGAACATGCAAAAGCCCAGCGTAAAAGCGCGGTGTAACGCATTGCCCCCTAGGGCCCAGGGGAAGGGAAATGCATCGAACCCCAAAGGGCCAATTGATGTGCGGCCATGGCACCCTCTTTTGTATGGCATCAGCAGGGATTTCAACAACTTTCTATCAGATGGTGGGCAGTTTAACGTGGGTCTTTCCATCTGAGTTTGCCTCCCCATGTAAGCTCCTCTGAACCCAAGCGAATGTAACCCCCTGTCCAGGAGGCGCTCGAGGGTCTCTCAGGGGCGGCGCAGGTGCGGTCTGTATGGATCCGATGGGTGATGGCAGGAGGCTGTGAGGTTGGAATTCGGCTGAATGAGTAATCCCTACAGCCCATATCCTCAGGTTCGGTGGTTAGACCCCCCTGGCACCCACCCCTGTCCCATCTTCGAAACGGAGGTGGTTGGAGCCCTAGGGAATGGTTGAGTGGACACCAATTGGTGAGGTTGAGTGGGTGATGGCTGACGAATCAAGGCTGAATGAACCTGTCGACAGGAAGCCACTGGCCCAGTGGACATTGTCCTATCCAAATAAAGGCATTTTGGGGTTTTCATTCAGGTGGCTTTTCGACGCTTTTCTCACGTCATTTGCTCCGAGCGAGGAGACCTTACGAGGCCTCGAACGAGACCCCTCTTTTTTGATTATCATCCAAGTAGGCACAGCCTGGCCGTTTGGCCGCTTAGGTGCTTCTCGGGGCTGTGGAGTTAGGGGGTCTCAACTTGTGGGGTGGCGCTAGGTGCGGGCAGCCTGAAGATTTTGTGCGGAGTTTGGAAGTTTCAAAGCTTCCAGATACCCCATGATACATGATCCAATGAAACCTCTCGCTGGCCATGTTTTGATCGCCTGCCTTGGCGAAACGAAACCACAAAGGACAGATACAATTATGCGTGAATCTGAAATTAAGTGGGCTCTTAAAGGCTACTTAATGTTATATACTGTTAACATCTGTTAACTGTTAACCAAGAAACCCCTGGGTCCCAATCAGTCCGCACTTCACACCAGGCCCAAGCAGAGAATGCGCCGGACTCAGAAAATACGTCATGTCCTGACCTGGCAACAGAGGCTGAAGAACCCTCTAGGAGTAGTTTATGGGTCCTATAAAGGTCACTTCGCCTTTTTTTGCTGGGTTCTTGTTGGGATGTCCTCTCTGGCCGTCGGAAGTGGTGGCTGACTTCAGCCCCCCACCGTTCGGGTGGTGGGGGAAGGGTGAGCAAGGAGTCCTTTTTGATGACCGCCCCACTTAACGTGGGCTGTTTTTCGGGAAGACTCCTGGTGTTTGGATCGTGGCCGAGCTGGACCTGTTTGGGCCACCCATGTTGGGCATTTCAACGCCTGAATGGCACGGAATGGGTGCCCTGGTGCGGGCACGGACGAAGGTGCCCTGGTGCGGTCGGGGAGGAAGGACCCGTCCAAGGCGCAAAGGTCCTTGCAGAACGGCTTAGAGGGAGTCGGGGCAGCCAGTTGGGCGGCGGGGGGGTGCATCGGGCCCGGGTGGAGCCGGCGGAGCCGTGGTGCTTTCGTGTCCAGGACTTTCAGCATCACAAAGGGTTTGCTCAAAGACTTCTGCGAAGCACAAAAAAGTCATTGTTCGGGGACCTATATACACTTCTTGAAGTTTGGAACGCTTTGGAACAGCCATTCTTTCTGTTGTTACGCGGGCGCAGTCATGACTTGGCACACAAGAAGCTGCGCTTCGTAGGCCCGACGACGGCGTAGTAAGTCATGACTTGACATGGTGTTTTCTACGGATACCGCGGCGTGCGCTCGCGCGCGCGCTCTCTCTCTCTCTCTCTCCAACTTGGGGGTCTTCACAAGCACCACTTCCGAGTCGTCCTTCTTACCCTCGTCCAAGCAAGCCCGACCAATGGCACCATCCAGACTACCCGTTCGGGTACTCCAGACAGTACTGGGTACTGGGCCCCACTAGGCACGGCAGGATTGGCAAGAAGACCTTTTTCGTCCGGGCCGCGCCCAAGCGGAGACGGGACTTTCTGACATCCTCATGGAAGTGGAGTTTACCACCTCTATTCTAGAGAAGCATCCTCATTCTTCCTGGGCCATGCCATCCACGTAACCCTGATAATTTCAGGGAAGCGAACCTGTGGGGCGACCGCGCCGGCATGCCTGCGGCATTTTGGGATGTGATAGCTTGGCGCAACTGAACCGTGATCAACAGAAGATGGACCAAAAGAATTCATCGTAGATACTGTCCAGGAACAGTTGCTTTGTCAGAGAAGGCATGTGTCATTTTGAGCTTAGGAAAAAAAGGATCGAGCCCATGAAAGACCCCACCATTCTCAGCCCTCAGACTTGTCGCAAAGCAACAGCTCCGCAGCATGCGCGTGCTCCGAACTCTTGCTGCCTTTTCCCTGCTGGGGCGCTTTGCTGGTGGTGAAAACTGCGGAGAAGAGGGAGAAGACTGGTGCGCTTTGGAGAACGCACAGGAGACCGTCGCAGCCGCTCGCCAGCCGCAGACCGGTCGAAGAATCGCACCGACCCACACCCCGCTTCCCTTGATCGAGGCGGCATTGAAGAACACGCACCACGTTGGGGAACCGTGTTATTCTTTTGTGTAGTTCATCTCTTTTTCTGGCAAGTATGTGAGCTGTTGCTCCTTCTTTTTTCTTCCCGGTGAACATGTCTTCCTGATGGTGCTGAACATGTAATGGCACCGCGAGGATCCGGAGGAGCTGAGCATTTTGCAGAAGAAATCCAAGAAGGAATGGCTCTTTGGCGGGCCAAACCTGGGCCGGGCCAAACCTGTGGTCTTGACCTTGGGTGGGCCAAAGGTGGGGCTGGCAGATGTGGTTGGGATGGCAGATCTTGGTGTCTACCCTGCGGCTTGGGAGTGGTTCTGAGTCGCGCACCCCGACAGGGAACTCCTGGCATTTCCTTTTAGGGTGTTCTTGGAGCATCTACCCGGTATCCCTCTAAGCCCTGAAGAATTGGGTTTGGCACGGCGAGCGGCTGCATCTTCGCTTGACATTGAGGTTGGCGCAATAGTGCTCCATGCACACGGCGCGGACTCATTGTTTTGGCGACCGATTCTGCCAATTTCAGTGCGTGCTCGCAAGCTTGTGGGCCCCCCCCCCCGCAATGTCATCAGCTGACCCTTTTTGGCGGAAAGGGACGAGGGAGTTCCTCGCATCGCTTCCGCGACGGCCGCCTTCCCGCCCCGAAACTTAGGTGAAGCAGTCAAGATCCAAAGAAGCATGTGGTTCAGAAGGGGTTGCTGTCGCAAGGTCGGATCAAACGGAAAGGGCCCTCAGGTCCCAACGAGGATCTTAACTCCCTTTTGCTGAGCCATGGGAGCGGTGTGCCTATGCCTCGGACGAGGAAAGGTCGAGCCTTTACCTTCTGATGCAAGTGGAGGAGACGACCAGGATGGCTGGTGCGTCATGCAAAATGGCCGCGGAGCCATGGAAGATGCCGTTGACGTGCAAGACAACTTCTTCGCAGTTTACGACGGCCACGGCGGAGCTGAAGCCGTGACCTCTGTGAAAGAAGCACTCCCAAAGCTGTTGGGAAAGGAAAAGGGGCCAGATATGGGCCTCAGAATGAAAGAAGCCTTTCAAAAGGCTGATGCAGCGTTTGTTGGGCCACTTGCAGCAAGATAAAGCAGACGTCCTGGACTACCTCCTATCCTCGGGCGTATGTGCCTGCATCGCTGTGCGAGATGAACACGAGCTCGCTGTGGCCAACTTCGGAGACTGCCGAGCCTTGGCCTACAAAGGAGGATCCTTGACCGTGATGACGAAGGATCACAAGCCATGTGAGCCATGCGAAAAAGAACACCTGACTATGCAAGGGATCCAAACCACATCTGATGGCTACCTGATAGGTGGCCTCTCAGTGAGCCGCGCGTTGGGAGATTTCACACGCTCAACATGGACGAAATGTCCAGGACTATTATCAGAACCAGAGGTGACCTTCTTCTCGGTAGATGCCGACACGGACGTCATCCTTCTTGCCTCTGACGGCATCTTTGAGAGCATGACAAACTTGGACGCTGTCCAGTCGATCAGACGACAGTTGCGGAGAAACCTTGGTTTTTGCAGAGCACGTGTTGAATTTTGCTGATTTCATCGTTTCCGTCCCTCAATGATTGATTGAATTGAATGACATCCTTTGTTTTCGCTTCTCCTGAGTTGTTGTGATCCATTTCTTTTTCACGATCCCCGCAACCGGCGGCTGAATCGCTGGTGAAGCAAGCCCAGAAGTTGAAAAGCGCAGACAATTTGAGTGCACTGGTAGTTGTCTTCCGGATGCCGCCAGCAAAGGCATCAAACTCATCGCTTGGACGGAAGGTCTTGTTGAAAGGACTGGATGCCTAAGCGAAGTGAAAACAGATCGCACAGGAATGGGCAACTCGACCAGCAACAGCAATGCCTGGCGGTTGCAGAGATTTCGTTGAGAATCTCGGACGTTTGACGTTTCAATCGCTTGTTCGAAGTTTGAAAATGAGTCACTCGACTGCTTGGGCTCTAACGGGCAATTTGTCGTTCTTTCTAATCACGAAAGGTAGCTTGAGCTACCTGAGTTCTCCTTGCTTTAGCAAACATGTATTACAATCAGGAGTTGGGATTGTGCATTGAGTTTGGTCCTGTAAGAAATGATTCTGTTCGTCGGGGGGGGGGGGCCCCCCTGGATCAAATCCCCCGTGCGCCGGTTCACGCCGTCATGGACTTCTCCCAGGGTTCTGCTACCTTTCGTTCACCCCCTCCTCTCTCAAGTCAAACTCTGAGGCAGGTGCTGCACCTGGAGCGTTTCGAGGGACGAGAAGTGGCCGCCGAGACCTGCGAACTTCAGAAGTCCAAGTGCAAGTTGCAGCTTGCTTGGGCGGGTGTTCGCTACTAGTAACAAGTGCATCGCTACTAGGAACAAGTGCATCGCTACTAGTAACAAGTGCATCGCTACTAATAGGAACAAGTGCATCGCTACTAGTAACAAGTGCATCGCTACTAGGAACAAGTGCATCGCTACTAGTAACAAGTGCATCGCTACTAGGAACAAGTGCATCGCTACTAGGAACAA